AGGATGAAGAGGAGGCTGGGTAGAATGGAGGAGATTAATGCCTAAAGCGACTTTGGTCAAATTCAATTCTAGAACACCAAATTCCCTCCTCGTAGTCTCCCAGTGAACACATTGATCAGTCGGCCCGCCATGTGTCCAACCCAATTGCCAACACAGCCTAGAAAACTGAAAGACCCCAAGCTGGGGTACTTGCGTCGAAGTACTGCGAGGTTGCTGCATATCAGGCTAACCTGTTATGGCATCGTACCCCACAGTCTTGGGGGTTTTGCAACACTGACCCCTATAGCCCACCGTAGAGTCCGGGAGTCCGGTACGAGTCCGACGTATAGACCTGACGGAAAAAACAAATATCTCAAAGACCTCTATTGCTGTCTCAATCAGAAAGGAGTGTGTTGTTGTGGGCCAGGTCGCAAAATGAGCTTGGCCGCAAATGCGGGGTCCGTGGTGGGGCTGCGGGGTGGCCCGAAGCCGGCGGGGCGGCGGGTGGTGAAGCGGAAAATAGACGATTTGGGGATTGAATCGGGCAGGAGCAGCCGGTATGCGACACGAACGACTGCGAAAACGACGCTGGCGAAGGAGGGCGACTGCGTGACCGACGTGAGAAATGGAGGCAGCGACGCTGGCGACGGAGACGCGACGCCCCAGCACGTCTCGGAGCTCCTGGGCGACTGTCGCGCCGGGGTCGCGGGGCTTTCGGAAATGATCCGAGGACAGGGCGAAGTCATTCGCGTCCAGCAAGAAATTATCCGAACCCTGAAAGAGGCGTCCGACGAACAGCAAAATCTGATCCGGGACCTGAAGCTTGTGTTGGAGGACACCAAACAGCAGATGGGCCTGGAGCTGAAGCGACTGAGCGACAAACTTGAGGTCATCACAGCGCGCCCAACCGTTACCCCGCCGCGATTTTTCGCCGAGGTGGCGCGGTCGCCGCACCCGTCCCAACCCGCAACCGTGATGCACAGCAAGGCAGCGACCGGCTCTCTCGCCGGCTCGCTCTATTGCACGATCGACACGTCGCGAGTGGAAGAAGCGAATAGAGACCATGTGCAAGTGGGAGCAGTCCGCCAAGCCATCGAAGGCGAGATGAGGGCCAAGGACGGTCGGGGAACTTGGCAGTGCGCGGCGGTCGTGAGAGACGCTCGAGCCGCGGAGCGCATCAAGGTCATCTGCAGGAACGAAAACGAACTGACGCAAGTCAAGGAGGCTGCACAGAGGACCGCCGTCGTGGGTACGAGAGTCATGAGGGATCAGCTCTACGCAGTGAAGGTGGACAATGCGGACAAGAGCATGGTGCTGGACACAGAAGGGAACGTGCTTCCCGGGGCTGCCGAGGCACTTGGTGCGGAGAACAGCGTCAGCATTGCCAAGATGTCTTGGTTGAGCAACAAACGATCCGGAAAGGCCTACGGGTCGATGGTGATCTACGTCACGAAGGAAAGCGACGCAAAACGGCTCCTGGACGGTCACTACTTCGACCTAGCCGGGGAGTCAGCAATTACGGACATTTTCGAGCCACGCAAGGGTCCTGTACGGTGTTGAAACTGCCAGAACATCGGCCACAAGTCGTTTCAGTGCAAGCACGCCCAAGTCTGCGGGAGGTACGCAATGCCAGGGCATCACCACAGAGACTGCCAAACGGCAGAACCGAAGTGCGTGCCGTGCGGTGGACCGCATGAATCATTCAGCCGAAATTGTCGGGTGCGGAACACACGTGGCGATGAGTAAAACCTTGAGCATCTTACAACTGAACGTAGGGAAGCGAGAGCCGGTCCAGCAAAGCTTGATGAATGACGTCGAGCTCAAAGATTACGGCGTGCTGGCGGTCTCCGAGC